CACCACATAAGCAAAAAGAAAAAAAGCCAGAAGTGGCACTGTGGCTCAGGTGGTAGAGCGCTAGCCTTGAGCTGAAGAGCTGAGGGATAGTGCCCCGGCCCAGAGTTCAGGCCCCATGACCGGACCCCCACCCCCCAAAAAAAGGACTTTCCAACCCGGCTGGAGGTTTATTCTTGGATACTGTTGTAGTTACCAAAACCATTCCTTTCAACCATACAAAATCAAATCTAATTGGTAAACACAGCTCCTTTGCTAAGGGTAATTACCCTATGTCATATAGAGAAAACGCAAACAGTTTATTTCTAAGAACTATTTATCACATCCCTACTCCTCTGCAAGATCCTAGAGCAGGACCTGCAATCTGAAAACTAAACAGAAACTGTTCCTGCCCTGTAACTATCAAAATTGCCCCTAGTACATTTTAAAGTTAATAAGCTTATTATTTTAAGGTCAAAAGCTGTTTGATAACAGATTCTTTAGGGGGAAACATCATATAGTAAAATGGTCCCCCCTTACCTGTGCTTTTGCTTTCCTTGGTTTCAGTTGGCTATAGTTAACTGTGATTGCAGAAAATTCCAGAAATAAAACTCATAAAATTCCTTTTTGAAGTTTTACCAAGGATTTATTTTAGTATAACAGAGTTAAAGTAGAAAGACAGAGAAAAAGAGAAACATTTCCTGCTCACCATGTGGCAAATGGGGGTTAAAAGACTCAACTCTTCAGTTTTAAAGCATGCGCATGTCTGAGAAGTGTGATGAAATCTGGCAATAGGTCCTGCCTAAGATATGACACATCTTTGTCCAGCATATATGAGATATAGATGCTACATACTTTTCACTTAGCAGCCATGTTAGTTATCATCATTTTGACAATGTTAGCAAGTAATGCTTATTTTACTTAATCAGTGACCCTGAAGTGCAAAAGTAGTGATGCTGGCAATTTTGATATGTCAAAGAGAAGCTTTAAAGTACTTCTTTTCAGTGAAAAGTCTAATGAGGCCTAATGAAAAAAGAAAAAATATATGCTCAGGCTACTGAGAGATACAGCTAAATTACCATCTCTTAGTGTATATAATTTAGTACCATAGGTACATATTCATAAAAAAAAAACCACACTACATGTAGTGTTCAGTAGTATTTGTGATTTAGGCATCCACGGGGTCTTGAAAAAATGTACCCTTCACATGAGAAGATAACTGTATTAGGTATTCAGACTAGAAATTTTCCCAAGTCTGCAGCCTTGTTATTATTTTACTCAGATGATTTTTAAAAACAGTAAAAAGAAACAAAATGTTTATAGTTATATAAATTTCAGTTTTCATCTAAAGCACATTCTTGTGACTGATATAAAAGGACTTGATTTTCCTTTAAAATTTCTACTTTTAAGATAGACTCAGTTACACTTACCTACTTCTACATTCTATCATGTATCCCTGTTATGGTTGCTTTCCTTGGACTTCATAACTCATATCTACTTTATTATCGCTTCATGGAAGTTTTTTTCTTTTTTTTGTACATTTTTATTGCAAAAATGCTGTACAGAGGGGTTACAGTTACATGAGCAAGGTAATGAGTACATTTTCTATTAAGCATTGTTGCCTCCTCCTTTGTTTTCCCCCTATCATCCTTTCCCTCCCACCTCCACAACTACTCCCCCCTTCTCCCCCCAAGAAGTTTTTTTCTTACTTTTGTTTTTGTGAGGATCCTGCTACGTGGCTCAGGGTGGTGTTGAACTTTCAATCTGTCTCAGCTTCTTGAGTGCTGGGACTAAAGGTATGTACCATCACCCCCAATTTACCATAGAAATATTACCTCTTTGAGTATTAATTTAACATACTTTAATTTACTTAATTTTTATTTTGACACAGGTCCTGGGGCTTGAACTCAAAACCTAGGGACTGTTCCTGAGCTTCTTTTGCTCAAGGCTAGTGTTCTACCACTCGATCCACAGTTCCATTTCTGGCCTTTGAATGGTTAATTAAAAGTAAGCGTCTCATGAATTTTCCTGCATGGGCTAGCTTTGAACCTTCAGATCTCAGCCTCCTGAATAGCTAGGATTACAGGCATGAGCCACTGGTGCTGGGCTACTTTAAGTTTGAAATAATTAGTTTTAGTTTATTGCTATGTTTTTCAGTTTTCAATATTTTTAGTGGAGTCCAATTATTATTATTATTATTTTTTTTTGGTAGTGGGGCTTGAGCTCTGGGCCTGAGCGCTTTCCCTCAGCTCTTCAGCTCAAGGCGAGCACTCTACCACTTGAGCTACAGTGTCACTTCCGGTTTTCTGGTGGTTTATTGGAGATAAGAGTTTCACAGACTTTCTTGCCCGGGCTAGCTTTGAACTGTAATCCTCAGATCTCAGCCTCCTGATTAGCTAGGATTACAGGCGTGAGCCACCAGCGCCTGGCTCCAATTATTTTTATTATAAAGATTTTCAATTTTTAAAGCCTCCTTAAATAGCAAATAATATTATTGTCGGTCATGGGGCCTGAACTCTGGTCCTTGGCGCTGTCCCTCAGCTCTTCAGCTCATGGCTAAAGCTCTACCACTTAAGCCACAGCACCACTTCTGGCTTTTTCTGCTTATGTGGTGCTGCACAATTGAACCCAGGGCCTCATGCATGCAAGGCAAGCACTCTACCACTGAGCCACCTTCCCAACCCTTTATCTTTTTCTTTATACATATGTGAGCATTACGTTAACTCTCAAAAATCACAGATTTAAAACAGTGCCATTACTAAAATAGATCATAATGATTACTTTGGCATGTTGTTAATTATTGTAATTAAAAACCTAAGTCTGAAGCTGGCTAGTGGCTCACATCTGTAATCCGATGTACTGAGGAGGCTGAAATCTGGGGACTGTAATTTGAGGCCATCTGGGGCAGGAAAATCCATGAGACACTCATCTCCAATTAATCGTTTTTTTTAAAAAAAGGACTGGGAACGTGGCTTAGTGCTAAGAGTGCTTGCCTAGCATGCATGAAGATCTGGGTTAGATTCCTCAGTACCACATAAACAGAAAAGAGCAGAACTGATGCTGTGGCTCAAGTGGTCAAGTGCTAGCCTTGAGCAAAAGAAGCTCAGGGATAGTGCCCAGATCCTGAGTTCAATCCCCGGACTGGCAAAAATAAATAAAATCCCTGTCCTTCTCTTACAAAAAAACAAAAAACAAACAAAAAAAACTGGAAGTGGAGCTGAGCTGAGATGCAAATGGTAGAGTACTAGATTTGAGCAAAAAAGCTCAGAGACAGAACCTAGGCCCTGATTTCCCAAGACCAGTACCACCCCAACAAAAACCCAATGCCCACCCCCCCCAAAGCTACATATACATATATAATAAATAAAATTTAAGTCTGAAACTTTACCAATGCTGTTTCATGAGTTTGAGGATGTTTGAAATTGACCATTTCCAGAGACAGGTGTTTTTTTATTCGTGTAACATCAGCTTCCCGTGCAGCTTGCAGTAACGAGTGTCCTTTAAACTCATCTAAATGAAGAAGCATTAAATCTATGTGAGAATTATCAAATTAGTTCAATTTCCATAGTAACAGATAGTAACTTTCCTGGAATTAATATCAAAACAACTTCCCCAAATAGCTAGACTAAAGCTGTACAGGTATTTTTTTTTTGTCAGTCGTGGGGCCTGTACTCTGGGCCTGGGTACTGTCCCTCAGCTCTTCAGCTCAAGGCAAGCGCTCTACGGCTTGAGCCACAGTGCCACATCTGACTTTTTCTGATTATGTGGTGCTGAGGAATCGAACCCAGGGCCTCATGCATGCAAGGCAAGCACTCTACCACTGAGCCACTTTCTCAGCCCCTTGTACAGGTATTTTCTATATATAATTTCTAGAAGCAGACATAGTGCTACTCCAGTTCCCTTCAATTATGGCTGAATTAATTCTTAGATATAGATAGATTTAAGCCAATGTAGAATCATGGTCTGTTCTATTTCATAAATGGTCCAGAGATACCTACAATACTGCAATATATTTTTATTTTTATTATTATTATTTTTTTGGGTCTGGTCGTGGGGCCTGAACTCTGGGCCTGGGCCCTGTCCCTTAGCTCTTCAGCTCAAGGCTGTAACACTCTACCACTTGAGCCAGAGTGCCACTTCCGGCTTTTTTCTTTTTGCTTATGTGGTGCTGAGGAATCGAACCCAGGGCCTCAAGCATGCAAGGCAAGTTCTCTACCACTGAGCCACCTTCCCAGCCCTGCAGTATATTTTTAGACTAGAATGTTCTGAGAATTTTCTAAAACATAGAACTTTTCTTAGTTGAAAAAAAAAAGAGAGAAAGGGTGTTAATTATCCCTACACTAACAGCTTAGTAGCAGATGGCTTTTCTCATACCTCTTAGGTAACTGCGGACTTGACAAATTGGCTATTGTCAAGTACCATCTACAGTGAGCAAATTAAACAGGGTATTTTAGCAAAGTTTCTCTTTTACTTGAGAAACCATCTTTTAATCCCTTTTCATTCCACAACAATGAGTCCAATTCAAGTTGCCCATTTATAAGTAGTAATAATACTACATCTTAATTAGATGGTCATTTCTCACTGTATCTATTTTAGCTATAAACAAAAACCATAGAACTTGGTAAAATATGAAAGAATATGAAATATTAAGACCCAGGGACTATATATCTATATCTGGTAAAAATCTTACAAATAACATTTTTAATTTAGCAGCAGATTTAACTAGAAAGTTGTATTAAAAGAACAAAACCTAGCCGGGCGCTGGTGGCTCACGCCTGTACTCCTAGCTACTCAGGAGGCTGAGATCTGAGGATCATGGTTCAAAGCCAGCCCGGGCAGGAAAGACCGTGAGACTCCTATCTCCAATAAACCACCAGAAAACCGGAAGTGGCCGACAAAAAAAAAAAAAAAGAACAAAACCTAAAAACTTTCATTTCAAAAGTATACCATAATACGTATAAAAAAGCATAATTTGTTTTCTTTTTTTTTTTTTGTTGGTTGTGGGGCCTGAACTCTGGGCCTGGGTGCTGTCCCTCAGCTCTTCAGTTCAAGGCTAGCACTCTACCACTTGAGCCACAACACTACTTCCAGCTTTTTCTGCTTATATGGTGCTGAGGAATTGAACCCAGGGCCTCATGCATGCAAACGAAGCACTCTACCACTGAGCCACCTTCCCAGCCCCCATAATTTGTTTTCAAAGAATGAATAGTTGTATTTTAACAGCATTTAGCGTAAGTACTAGCTTCCAAATTATTAAGTAAGTTAAACAATATTATTTATATTAACTATTACTCATATTAAATATACTCAAATACTCCCCCAAATAAACAGGAATTCAGCTTTGAGAAATGTATGTTACTATTCATGATTCCTATACTCACATGACAATCTTTCTTTTAACTGTGGTGTGGGAGCCAAGTCTATAGCACTTTTATTGTGACAATTCAGCAATGTTGGATCTGCACCATAACTCAGGAGAAGAGAACAGACTTCAACCCTGTTCTTAGAAGCTGCTTCGTGAAGAGGGGTAAATTGCCACAAGTCCATTGCATTTACACAGGCACCATGCTGGTGAGAAAAAGTGTATTTTGATGTTAATTTTTGTGACAATTTATAACTGCAATTTAGTACTGTATAATTTACTATCAGGAAAGTTTAAAAAAGATTATGTCTCCAAGGGTTATTTTTTAAGCTAATTATTTCAGAAAAAGAAAACATTTTTTCCTGTTGACTATTAAACCTGCTTGTTAACAAGGGTCTGTTTTAAATCTTATAGTTAAGAATGAAGGCTTTAGATTTAACCTGCATCTTCTTCAAGACATTTTCTCCCTTCTGGAAGTATAAATACAAGTATAGTGAGTACTTTGTGTAGTTGAGTTTTGACAGATACACATATCCATGATATCATCATCCAAGTCAAGATTTCGACTCTTCCATTACTACAGAATTTTTCCTTGGGCTCTTTTATAAGCAATTTCTGGCCCAATTCTGACTTTTAGCACTGTAGCATCATGCTTTCTAATTTCAAAAAAATGAAAAATACAGTCACTCAGGTATCTGTATGTACTAACACAATCAATCTGATGTGGCACTACTATTCCAAATGTTGCTTTATTTTATTTTAAATTTTATTTTATTTTTTTGTGAACACACTGTACAGAGGGGTTACAATTACATGGGCAGGATAATGTGTACATTTCTTATCAAGCATTGCAGCCTCCTCCTTTGTTTACCCTTCACATCCCTTCCCAGCCTCCCCCTCTACCCAATCCTCCCCGCCCCCAAATGTTGTTTTAAAAGAAGCAAAAGCATCACTGCTACAAATACATGATACCACAGGTACATGATCAATTTGAAAGGGCTTATACAATATTTATTATTATATGCATTATTACATGCACATGCCCAAAAGGAAGCATAAAAGCCCTGGAAACTAGTGTTTTCTTTCCTTTCCCTTGATAGTTGCTGAAAAGTCAGACAAAGTATTGAGGGATTAATAACTGGGTTCAGGGCAAGAGAAATCTTAAGAGGATGGGGGTGGACACACATGGGCACATACATTCACATGTAGAGAAATTGGGAGAGTTACAACTTTCGAAGGGTAAATCTTGCAGATATAACTGGTGCCTTAATATATGAGTCAATAAAAGCTGCTTTCTGATCTTTGGCTACAAAGTATAGAATTATTCAAAACAGCTGTGTTATTTATATTTGAAATTATATGGTATCTCAAAAATTTGAAGGTAATCATATCAATCCCATATATTTTATGATTATAAATATTCCTTCTGTTTACCAAGCACTCAGAACAGAAATAAACCATGTATTTTAATAATTTTGTATAATAGAAAATAATCAGAAAGGTAAAAGAGAACAAACCTTGACCAGAAGCTCAGTTACTTCATAATGACCATAAGAACAGGCATTGTGCAATGGTACCAAGTCACTATAAGAGAATGGGGGATAAATGTGTGAATACAGATTCTCTAGCCCTAGGGAAATTAACAAATTAAAGTTTAGTTAATTTTGCTTTAAATATCAGTCGATTTGGTGATCTCCTAATAAAAAACTTGGTAACATCCAGAGGGATCCTAAGTCCAATAGGGTTATAAGTTAAAATCTCCCAAGTCTTTTCAAACCCATCTTCCGCCTATCCTACTATTGGCATTGACTTAATTCGGCCTATATTGTTTCTCCCCTGTATTACTGAAATAGTCTCCACACTGTAGCCAAAGTTTGCTAAACTTTTATAAATTAATTACTCCTTGTTTTAATGTTCCTGTTGTTTTTCCTTGCTTTTAAGAGACAATTTTAAGTTACATTTACAGACTGGGTCTTTCTATAGCGTCCAGGCTGGCCTAGAGCTTCTTCCAGTTTCCTCCTCCTGAGTAAGAATGCTGTGTTGACAGGTATGTGCCATTTTGTCTAGTACCGGTTCTATCTTCTTCACATGTATACCACGGACTCATGAGATTGCCTTCTTTCTCTGGCTTGCCCTTCAGTATCAGTTCCCTGTGGTTTTTTGTTGTTGTTGTTGTCAGTCCATGGGCCTGAACTCTGGGCCTGGGCGCTGTCCCTCAACTCTTCAACTTAAGGCTATCACTCTACTCTTTTTTGTTTGTTTGAGTCCCGTCATGAGACCTGAACACTGGGCCTGGGCGCTGTCCCTCAGCTCTTCAGCTCAAAGTTAGTGCTCTACCACTTGAGCCACAGCGCCATTTCCGGCTTTTTTATTTTTTCTTATGTGGTGCTGAGGAATCCAACCCAGGGCCTCAGGCATGCAAGGCAAGCGCTCTACCACTGGAGCCACCTTCCCAGCCCTCACTCTACCTCTTTTTTTTTTGGATCCGGTTGTGGGCCTGAACTCTGGGCCTGGGCGCTGTCCCTCAGCATTTCAGCTCAAGGCTACCACTCTACCACTTGAGCCACAGCACCACTTGCGGCTTTTTCTGCATATGTGGTGCTGAGGAATTGAACCCAGGGCCTCATGCACGCGAGGCAAGCGCTCTACCACTGAGCCACCTTCCCAGCCCCCTCACTCTACCTCTTGAGCCAAGCGCCACTTCTGGCTTTTTCTACTTATGTGGTGCTGAGGAATTGAACCCAGGGCCTCATGCATGCAAGCCAAGCACTCTACCACTGAGCCACCTTCCAGGCCCCTTCCCTGGGTATTTCTACACATACTGAACACTACAGATTTCCCTCCATGTTCTGATGTCACTTTTATACATCTTTTGACACAGCTCCAACATTATCTGTATTCCTTGAAAGAAAAAAAAATTTTTTTTCTATGCTGGTTCTGGGGCTTAGATTCATGGCCTGGAATCTATTTCTGAGATTTTTTGCTCAGGGCTACTGCTCTACTACTTGAGCCTTGGCTCCATTTCCAGGTGTGTTCTCTCTCTTTTTCTTCTGTGGTTACATGGAGATATATAGTCTCACAGACTTTCCTACCCAGGTTGACTTTGAACCATAATCCTCAGATCTCTTGAGCAGTTAGGATTATAGGCATGAGTAACCCACACCCAATTTTAAAACATTTTTTGAAATTGTGTAAGATAAACTGCTATACACCTCAATAACTGGTAACCTAATTCCTTTATGATATTAACAGAAGAACATCCACCATAACAAGGTACAGTGAAGCCTTAAAATCCTGCTTTCTGTCTTTAAGCTTCTCCTTCTCCTTGAGCATCACTCATAATTAATCACCACAGCCATTACCATAACAGCTTCTGGTAACCAAGAACCACTGTGATTTAGTCTCTTTAGTTCTATGTCTCTTTTCTTGAAAGGTTAATGGCTTTCTACCCTATCATTATAAAATAAGACTCTTTACTTGCCTGGGCACCAATTTCATTCCCATTTGACTTGAGTTCCCATCATGAAAGTGTAACTTCTCTCCAAAACAATTTTTCCTCTTGTACTTCAGTATTTATATACCGGTTCTAACTCATTTAGCTTCAGAATTTGAAATACAATTTTCTTCTTATTCCTTTCTCTCACATTATATCCAGACCAAAAAAAATTTATGCTAATAATATCTATTAGGTATTGAAGCTCTAGGTTCAATTCCCAGCACCAACCCCCCCCAAAAAGTAACAACAAAACACATACATAAAACCCCAACATAACATTTACACTAACATTGTAAAACTGACAAAAGAATACATAGTATCACTTAGTTGAACACAATCATTAATATATTCATGAATTCAGATTTGTAACAGTAAAACAAGACTGCTTTGTTATATCTATGTTTTCATTTTTATTTCTTCTCTCATCATTATTACAAAACATTACTAAGTTCTAGAATACTTTCCAAAACTGCTCTTTTTGTTTCAATTTACCTTACATACTCCTCCAGAATGCATATTCTTAACATCCTCTTCAAAATACTATTATCCTTATTTGTCATTACAAAATGCTTAGGGCTGCAGAATGAAGTTTGAATATCTGAAACCTGGTTTTCATGTATTTCTCCAAACCTAACTTACAATGTTCTTTATGTGAATTATCTGCTTCCTTAAGCTAGTCTAGTCACTGTTTCTTTTTGTTGTTGTTTTATTGGTTGTGGGGCTTGAACTTGACCTGGATGCTGTCCCTGAACTCTTCAGCTCAGTGTTTGAGCACTTGCCTTGAGCTGAAGAGTTCAGGGACAGCATCCAGGTCAATAATTTCAATAATTATACATAAACGATGACTTTTTTTTTGGGGGGGGGTCCAGTTGTGGGGCCTGAACTCTGGGCTTGGGTGCTATCCCTCAGCTCTTCAGCTCAAGGCTAGCACTTTACCACTTGAGCCACAGCGCCACTTCCGGCTTTTTTCTTTTTGCTTATGTGGTGCTGAGGAATCGAACCCAGGGCCTCATGCTTGCAAGGCAAGCACTCTACCACTGAGCCACCTTCCCAGCCCCTCCTTGGAACTCTTATAGTACTATCCTTCTCCAATCATTACCAAGCACTTAGAAAATAACTTTTTGATTTGTTTATGACATTTTCTTCAGACTCCATAAAGTGTAGTGTATGAGTAGCAGGCTTAAGGTTTATAATTCTCTATGCCTGCAGAGCAACCTGTATATCATAAGAGCTCAAAAATATTAAAAAATGATTATTGAAAGGTACTTATTACCTTATGAAATGGTAAGCCCTCTGTACAACACATTAATATATAGAAAATAAAATATATGCTTTTCTGTACATTTTTTTGGTCAGTCATGGGGCTTGAAATGAATGCTTTTCATACAATTATCAAATGTATTATAAAGATCCTAATACTTAAGTCCTCTTTTTGTTGCCATACTTACCCTTTATCTTTAGCGTGGACATCAGCACCATGCTGCAGTAACAGCTGTACAATCTTCACTCTGTTGTAGCCTGCTGCCAAATGTAATGGAGTTGACTGAAATAGCAATCAAATGAATTAATAAGACTTATGAAACGATGGCTATGAAAGGAAAATCAAACATAAAACTAGAAAATCTAATTATATCTTTGTTGTCTAAGAAGTAGTTATGTATATACTATAGTTTTATAAATCTATTTTTATGTTGAAGACATAAAAATTAAGTTCACAATGGCATATAGGAAGCAAATAAATGTCTATTATCAACTAAGTTTTTCTAAATTTAAGAATTAATTTGAATGACTACAAATTAATGACTAAGAATTTGAAAGGAAACATCAATACTCTCTCTTAATGCTTTAGTTTGTAAAAGGGTAGTATATCTTCCTACTACCAGGAAAAGAACATAACATAAACTTAAAAAGAAAGTACCTTCCTGCCATCACTTGCATGGCAGTTGACATTTAATGGTGTAAGTAGAGCCATCATTTTTTCCTCATTGCCACTCCTAGAATACACAAAAAAAATTAACTGTTTATATTTTTATCGGTGCCTACCTAAGAACATGTATTGCAAGCATTAAGATAAAGTCCTTCTCTTTTAAAGTGTGTGTATTGTAGAATTTGAGGTGTGGTTCATGTGGTAAAGAACATTAGTTTAATAAATAAGCACAAGGCGAGTACTGCTAAAAAAAACTTGGTGGTTTTCATTAAACATACTTATAAAATTAGTACATACCTGGCACTTTCCAAAAGTTCATCTTTCTTATAGTCTCCTGTGAATTAGGAAGAAAACGAGCAGAAATTTTAAAAAAATCAATGACAATTTCATGCAAAAAGATGAGTATATTATGGTAGATACATTTGGAAATAAATTTCTAAGAAATGCAAAATAGTTGATCAATACCATGAAATTTAAAAATACTTATATGAAGTAAGTACATGCAATACTTTTGTTATGAAAAAAATTCAGTGATACATAATGAACTCTGACCACCACTATATTAAAAAGCATAGCAAAGGAAGGCCCAAAAGAAAATTCACTAAAACGTTAACAATGTCTGTCTTGGGTAGGGCATTACTAGTAGATGCTCCTTTTCTTTTCCTTCTGTCCTTCAGTTCTTCAGCTCAAGGCTAGCACTCTAATACTTTGAGCCACAGAGTCACTTCCAGCTTTTTCTGCTTATGTGGTGTTGAGGAATTGAACCCAGGGCCTTAGGCATGCAAGGCAAGCACTCTACCACTGAGCCACCTTCCCAGCCCTATAAAGTTTATTATTTTTGTAACTGACAATAAGATTGTTGCTACTTAATGTTACTTAAGATACATGCAAATATCAAAGATTACGTAATTCTTCATGTTGATAACTTTTATTTATATTTTTTGTGGATATTTTTGCACTTACAGGAGAGCAAACAAAATTATAAAATCAATTCAATTTAACACAAGAGTTTGATTAGACAACATCCAAACTGGTGCTTACAATAGGAATTCTACACTGATCTGTAAGGTAAGGCTTGTTTTGTGCCATGATTTTTTTTTTTTTGTCAGTCATGGGGCCTGAACTCTGGGCCTGGGCACTGTTCCTCAGCTCTTCAGCTCAAGGCTAGTACTCTACCACTGGAGCCACAGCACCACTTCCAGCTTTTTCTGTTTATCTGGGCCTCAAGCATGCGAGGCAAACACTCTACCACAGAGCCACCTTCCCAGTCCAGGCTTGTTTTTTTTTTAAGAGAGAAAAATATGAAGTAATTTAGAATAATGAAGGAGGTATGGATAGTCCTGAAAGTAGTTCCTAAGATGTTCAGGGATTAGTTTTAAGTTTTCCAGCAATGCTAGAAGGAACATGTAAAGTCCAAGTATAAAAACTTTTAAAATACCCCTCAGAGGCTTTTGTCTTTTAGATGTGATTTGAATGATTATCATATAGTAGGTAAGAATCCAGTAAGGAATATGGCAGAGTTGTTTAAGTGAAAAACACATTGATAAGGTTAAAAAACACTTATGAAGTAGCTATATCTTAAAAAAGCTTGCTAATCTAAATTAAGACCTAATGTATCGTAATAGAATCCAAGGCTATGAATATGTTATAGTAAAGTCATCTTCATGGTACTAAAATCAGTGTGACCAGAATCCTGTTTTGAAGATGATGGATAAAGATAATTAGTACTTATGGAAAGGATTCTATAAAGAAATGATAAAAATATACTATACCCAAAACAAAAACTGGACCATCAAAGGGTAGACATCAGTTGTATGAAAAGCTCAAGGATATTTAAAAAATACTCTGAATACAGTCAGGCACCAGTGGCTCATGCCTGTAATCCAACTACTCAGGAGCCTGAGATCCAAGTATCAAGGATTCTTATCTCCGATCACTGGATCACTCAAAAACTGGAAGTGGCTCTCTGGCTCAAGTGACAGAACACTACCCTTGAGCACAAAGAGATCAGGGACAGGACCCAGGCCCTGAGTTCAAGCCCTGCAGCCCTGCAATCAACAATAACAAAAATTCTAAACACAGCAACATGTAATTATCACACACTGTTTCCAGTGAACAGTGACAGGTTTAAATATGAATCTGAAAGTTTAAGGTTTCATCTATTGAATGCTGATAGCTCACACCTATAAACCTGGCTACTTAAGAACTTGAGATCAGAGAATTGAAATTTGAAGCCAGGAAGGGTAGACAAATTTTAGAGACTCCAACTAACCAGCAAAAGCCAGAAAGTGGTAGAATGCCAGCCTTGAGAAACAAAGCCTTGAGAGGGAAAGCCCTTGAGTTCAAATACCAGTAAAGGCACTAAAAAACAAACAAAAAAGAGTTCCATTTTAGACAAGAATCAAATATAAACTGAGCTCCAGTGGCTCATGTCTATTACTTAGCTACACAGGAGGCTGAAATCTGAGGATCACAGCTCAAAGATGGCCTGGACAGAAAGTCCGTGAGACAGACTCTTAGTACTGGCACCAAAACAAAACAGAAAACACTAAATCTAGATGTACAAAAAAAATAGCAACTGAACTGACACTATTTATATACTCTTCCTTTAAAAACCAGGAGGGGGGCTGGGAAGGTGGCTCAGTGGTAGAGCACTTGCCTTGCATGCCTGAGGCCCTGGGTTCGATTCCTCAGCATCATATAAGAAAAAAAAAAGCCGGAAGTGGC